GTGTCTCCAGGTTTCCAACTGGTTTGGTAACAAAAGAATTCGATACAAAAAAAACATGGGGAAGTTCCAAGAAGAAGCCAATATTTATGCCGCGAAAACAGCGGTGGATGCAACTAATGTCGTGGCTCAAGGCAACCAGGCAAATTCGCCGTCGACACCAAATTCAGGTGAGAGAGAAGAATCTGTCTGCTGGAAAAGGCTCTAATTATTTCTTGTGATAATTAGTACCAAGGACTAACAGCGTTTGAAACGGTCCTAGGTTTTCTTTTCCTTTTACACTTAAGTAATACTTGTCGAAGAAGTGTTTTTGGTGGGTTTTATTTCTCACTGAAAACAAGTTGTCACTTTCTTTTTCAGCTTCCTCTGGCTCTTTTAAGATGACCAATTCCGGAGATTCCTTTATAAACTTGCAGTCATTGACTTCCTACCAGAGCTCCCCTGTGGGAGCCAATGTGCAGTCACAGGTCAGTAAGAGTAAAAAAAAAAAACATCAAAAACCAAACAACCCCAAAACATAAGTTTTACCAGTGAGATAAACGTTAAAATCCCCTTTCTCTGTCCTTTATCCACTATGAACGGATGTGGAGTCTCCATCCTTGGACATACTCAAAACCCAACCTGCTCTAATGGACCCCACTTCGAACAGGGGGGTTGGATTAGACAATCTGAATTTATTTTTTTAAAGTAAATTCTCTTATTACCCCAATAGAGATGGATTTTTCTGTTTCCGGCCACCGCTGGCTGGGATGGAAGAAATAACTAGAGTCAAACTTCTCCAATAAGAGTCAAGAAATCAACCTGCTCAAATGTGTATTTTTTTTTCTCTTGGAACTGGATTTTTCTCTTTCTATCTTAACTGATACCTAAATTAACCCACTGCTTCTTCTAGCCCTTTAAATGTACATCAATGAAAGAGTATTTTCTCATTTTAGAGTCAGTCTTGTTTCACATAAGTAGAACTTTGCATAGGATTTTGATGAACAATATTGTCACACCCCTTTTAAGCTTTCTGCTGAATTTCTAAATCTACCTGAACTGCATAAAATCTGCTCCTCCGTCCTAAAAGCTATAGGTGATAAGCTCTAATTCTGCTTGAAAACAAATTAATTAAGGTAGAGCTTGGTTAATAGCCAGAACTGCAAAGAAAAATTCCTGCAAGAAAATTCTCCCCTTGTTTAAAGACTTTTTGGCCCAATAAATATGTACTGCTTTTCTTTAAATTGACTTTTTTTTTTTTTAATCCTTATTGTTCTCACTCCATGGCATCTTGTTCCAGATGGATTCCTTACATCACGTCATCCACCAGACGGGGAGATACGACACGATTGTGGGGAATCCTTTGTATACGACGCAGCGCATCGATGTAAGATGTACTGAGGTATTAACTTACTGCAAACACCAAATTCTGCCCGAAATTGGTTAACGTTCTGCGAATAAACGAGGACTTTTTATTCCCTCGACCATCTCCCATGTGGGGATAGGAAAAGAAAAATTAAAAAAATTGGGAAAAGATGTAGGTTAATAAACCAGCCTTTCCCTCCTGGAGACTTGATTTAAAATTTTGGCTTTGCTCACCAGAAAATTTGTGCCCTCAAGTTAATTATTGCCATAAAGAGATGGCACATGGAATGAATAACATCATAAAATCTTGTGGGGAAATGAGATTTTTGGGATATTCATGGACTGTGCTTTGCTGAAGCCAATATGTAGTTATTTCCTTTCCCGTTCCTTGTAAGGTGGAAATATTGAAAGGCATATTTTGTTGCCTGCAAGTAGTTTTTTTAAAGATTTAATGAAAGGATGTATTTGTTCTCCCTTGCAGGCTAATGGCAGCTGGCAGGATGCTACCACCCCTTCATCAATCACTTCACCTGCTGGAGACCCTGGAAGTGTTAATTCGGATGCGTCTAATTAAGTTTTTAGGACCTATTGATGAGAGGAAAGAGGTCATTAGTGTAATTTGTCAATGTTGCTCTTTTGCCAATACTATTGTTTATACAACTTGACACACAGCTAATTACCTCAGAAATCCCCCCCTCCCCCTGGAACCAATAGAAGATTGTGATGACAAGGATACCTCTCTACCTCTCAGCCTCACGCAGTTGAGTTCTTTTTACTTAAAGCCCATCAGGATGTGAAATTGTTTTAAAAAAGAACTTCATTTTCCTAACCAAATTCTTTTTTTTTTTTTTAAAAATAATGGATTTTCTGGTTAAGAGTCGGAAAAGTGTCTCTTCTCGAACTCGGCGTCTGTCTCAAGTTTTACAGCTTCAGAAAATTGACTTATTTTAATTCCCATAAAGTTTTTTACTATGAAATTTCTGTTCTAGTTGATAGCTACTAACAGTTAAACCCCCTGTATTGTAATTGTATGCGTTCTCTGTATTGTAATTTTGTATAGGAAAATAAGCTTTTCTTAACTAGAATTTCATTCTGAGCTAATTAATCAGAACGTTGCTTTACCAAAACTCTCACTGGACTTTGCTCTCGGGTAGGACCTTCCATCCTCTTGTCATTCCACGTAATTCTAATTTAATGTCTAGTGAAAGAAAGAAAGAAAAAAAAATCAACCACAAACCAACAAAACCCACCTGGATAACGATAAGGTTTTTGTGCGTTTCTGCAGCTGTTAACACGGAGTCCACCCCCCCCATCCTTTTCAGTTGAGATTTTATCAAAGATAATAAACATCCAAAGCCTTTTTTTTTTTTTTTTCTTCCCTTTTTCTCCTTTT